TAAGCTGGGGGGGTAAACTAATATAAGGTGGACAGGCCCAAAATTTGGAAATTGGAGTAAACCTTCTTCCATATTAAAATGAAGATATAAGAAGTTTTACTCCAATGCCAAAGTTATTATATTTGAAAGTTTGAAATGCAACCCATTATCTCACAAAAAAAAAGGGAAATCCTATTTTTTCTAAAAATACCCATCTGATTTTTTTCTAAAAATGAATTTTCAATTTCAATTTAAATATAGAATATATGGTATAAAAAATGAATAAATTTAAACAAATTTGCGAAAAGTTTTGGAAAGCTAAAAGACTTGACTTTCTTATATGGTCGTGTGATAATAGAGATGAAATTACCTCAATTGTATTCCCCCGTGTCAGATATCCCAATAGATTCGTTAATGAAAAATTTATGAGATGCTTAGAGAGGGAATAAAGCATTTAATAGTTAATACAACCCGAGATATTTTTGGAGCCCTGGTATTGGCAAAATTTAAAAAAAAAATTGAAAATTGGGAAAAATTAAAGAAAAAAAAACAATCAGAATCCAAAAAATCAATAAAATGTTTAAAAAAAATGGAAAAAAAATAGTTAAAAAATAAAAAATGGGCAGAAAAGAAACAAGTTTTGGTGTGCCTATTTGAACTGTTATTTTAGATCTTTTGGCAAATTTTAAAAATGGATAATATTTTAAAAAATAAGTGTGAATAATTTTTTTTATAGTTGAATCCGGATCCTAAAATTTAGGAATAAAAAAATCCTTAATAAAAATCGTGTATTTTTAATTATAATAAATAAAAACCATTAATACATGACTTAAATTATATTTTTTATTTAAGCTAAATTTTTTTTTTTTTTTTTTTAAAAGTGAAGATATTATTTGCAAATGCTTTAAATTAATCAGTAAAATTTAAAAAAAAAAATATTTAAGTTTCTCATAATTTTTACAAAAAACAAAACTTTATATGGGGTCGTTTTTTACATTATACATTACATCTTTTGTGCATTTGTAATGTAGATGGAGCTACTTTAGTTATAGATAAATAATAAATACACTCTTCTAAAATGCATATGAATACATTACAATTAAGTCATCAGTTTGCCCCTCCCTGAAAGTAATATAAGTATCTCCTGGAAGATACTGGTAATTTTTTTTTTTTCGAAAAAAAAAAAACTCCCCGTCCGGGAATTGAACCCGGGCCTTTCGCGTGACAGGCGAAAATCCTCACCACTAGACCAACGGGGAAGAGATATTAGAATTATAAAAAATCACCTTTTTTATACGAAATTATATCAATTTTAAATTACTAAAAATTCTTTTAAAAAGTCGTGTTAACCTTTGCACCATTCTTATTGAAAGGGTTAGTCAAAAATTCATGGTTAGCAATTAATACAAAAAATATACCAAATTATATTCAAAACTATGTAAAATTAAATTCAAACTGGGAAGAGTAAATAAAATTGAGTTTAAAAAGTACCTCATAATTAGGCTTGAAAATTTAAAGTAGGAGTTCAAATTAGAATTCAGAAAACTTCTTTTTCAAACACATTATTTATTATATTTGAGCTTAGTGTATTTTATTTTATTACTTTTGTATTTGAATCCTACTCTTTATAGGTTTAACCTAATGGGTATTTACTACATATTTTCTATTTTTTAAATTTTTTGATAATATTTAAATTATTTAGCAAAATATTTTTAAAATTATTTAATACTGTTAATAATAGAGTTATTGTATAAATAAAACTATTTTACTATTTTATTTTCCCTCTTAATACATTGATATTTTTTTTTCATTATATAAAAAATTTAATTATAAAATATAAACATTAAGTTAATTTAAATTAAATTAATATGTAATTTTTTTGATTTTTTAAGCAAATATTTAAAAAAATAAAACATAATGGGTAGCTTAAATAAAAAATTTTCTGGAACTCATTGTTTTTTTTTTTTTTTGTATTGTGTATAGTTTTAAACTTCTATTCGAATAAATTTAAAAACTCATCTAGATATTTTTAATATTTCAAAGTAAATTATTTTAAAAGAAATAAAATTAATTATTTTAAAATAAATAAAAAAATAAAATAAAAAATAAAATAAAATAAAATTTTTTTTTTTTTTGAAATTTTTTTTTTAATTTTTTAAAATAAAATATATTTTATTTTCTCACAATTATTATTTATAAACCACACATAACTTTATATTTTAAACCTTTTTTTTTTCTTATTTATATAAAAACAACACAACAATAATCAAATATTTAATGGAAAAATATTCTTTATAATTCAAGACAGACTTGGATTTCAAAAATTAAAACTATTTTATTTTATTTTAATTTTTTTTATTTTTTTTGTTTTTTTTTTTTATATTTAATATTTAATATTTTATTACTAATAATAAAATGAAATTCTATAGTATAGTTTTATTATTGTCTTTCTTTTTATTTTTTTTGTTTACAACATCAGTAACATCAGTACCCCAAAATGGTAAGTTTATAAATAAATTTAAATCTGATAATTAGTATTAGTATTAGTATTGTTAACGATTTTCTTTAAAAATATAGATATAGAAGGAGTAGATGGCGAATCTTTTGATAATAGTGGTATAAGAATTAGTAATATTAACTTAATCAAGATTTTATTATCAGTATTCATATTAATGGTGTCAATGGTCATGGTTTAAATAGTAAAATAAACAACATTAATGTACAAATCAAAAAATCAAAAATCAAAAAATAATTTAATTAAAATCTCTAAATAAAGTTATTTTATAAATATTTTTAGATAGACGATCAACCAATTTTTTAATACAATTATAAAATATTTTCAAATTAATTTTAAAATAATAAATTTTTTTTTATTTTAAATTTTTTATCCATACCGATAAACCAGTATCTATTTGTACGTATTCTGGATCTTCCCTCAGTTAATCTTACAAATAGAATTAGATAAGGATAATTATGTCATCGAAATACATTGAAATATGATCATTAAAAATATAAATATTTCGAAACTATTTAACAATGTATCAATCACATGTTTTTAATGTCATAATATTCATTTAAGGCAAAAGGTAATAAACAATTTTTAATTATCATACAAAAAAAAAATAATCACACACAATTGTTATAAAATTAATTTTAAAATTTAAAAAATAAAAAATAAAAAAAAAAATCTAAAAAAAAAAAATTTTTATATTTCTCATTATTTTAAAACCGTGCTTAAAAACTAATAATATTAATATATAATAAATAAAATAAAAACAATGCTAATATTCCCAAATTATATAATTAAAGATATACTAAAACTAATAATTCTAAATAATGTAAATGAACTATCAAATGAAATAAACTTTAATTTAGACTTTAATAATAATAATAATAATAAAATCATCAGCAACAAAAATAATAATATTAATAAAAATATAGAAGAAATAATAAACTATTTCCTTGTATCAAAACAATGGAATTCAACTATATCACAAATTATAAATAATTTAAATTTTATTAATTATGAAATTTTAAAATATTTTATTAATTATAATTTTATAAACAATACAATCAACTATAATATTAACAACAATAATAAAAACAGTAAAAATAGTAACAACTTTGTAAATAATAACTTTTTAATAAAACTAAATGAAAATGATTTAAATAAAATAAAAGAACTAAATTACATAACTGCATATGAAAACAATTGCAATTTATCAATAGTTCAAATAGAACCTACAGAAAATCTAAAATACGATTATAGTAAAAAAGAAACACAGCAAAATAATAAATCAGAAGAGAGAGAAAAAGAAAATACTATATGCTTTAAACTAAATAGAATAGATATCAATCAAGAATCATTTTACCATTTAAACTATTCAGAGATATTTCAAAACAAAGTAGATACGAATTCGATTTTAGAAGAATTAGATTCAAAACTATCCACTTTAAATTTTAATAACAAATCCATATCAAAAAAAGGAAATGTAAAAAACAAAAATAATAAATCCAAAATACTAAAATTTCAAATAGTTAATAATAAATAATACAAACTATATAAAAAATTAAATAAAAAGTATTTTATTTTTTTTATGACTAAATAAATTATAGTTTTTACATTTACTATTTTCTTCTTTTTTTAAACTATTTGTCTATTCTTTGGGAAAAAAAATTCTAATTTTATTTACATATATTTATAAAAAACAACTGATAAAATAACTAATATTGTTGATAAAAATATTATTGATACCATATCATTACTATTCTTTTTTGTGTTGTTATTTAAAGCCTTGTTATTATTAATTTGTTTGATTGGGTTTTGTCTTAAATTATTTGTAGATGTTGTGGTAGTTGTAGTGGTGGATGTGTTTGTGGATGTGTTTGTGGATGTGTTTGTGGATGTGTTTGTGGATGTGTTTGCTATTGTTTCACCTGTGTTATTATTTTTACTATTATTACTTTCTTCTTCGTCGTCAATAATTGTAGAAGAAGACGATGCTTCACCTGTTTTTTTATATGATGCTACAATATCTGGAAACAATTTTACAAAAATTGGGTTCTTTAAATTAAATGGCATTGATGCCGCTGCATACTGTTGTCTAATTTGCTTTGATTTTGTCATCGATCCAAAACCTGTAGATTCCTCTGTCTAAAATAAAAAAAGCATTAGTATAGTAAAATAATAGCAATGCCAATTGCCTAATAATAAATATATTTACCATAAATGAAAGTAAACCCATTATAATAGTTTGGGTACCTATAAATGAAAAAAAAAAAAAAAAAAATGTTAATGATATAATAATAAAAATAAAATATAACGTTAATATCACTTACTCCATGAGGGACTCCAACTTTCTTGATGGAAATCAGACATAGAAACACATATTCTTGAATTACAGATAAATCTACCAGAAGGAGTAGTCATTAATATTGAGGGTGGTTTATGTGGATATTCCAATGGAAAAATAATTTGACCATGATACACTCCTGATTCGTAAGGGGTATCTTTGGGACCAAAAATAACGTAATGCCATTCTAATATATTTGTAGGTAATGGTTTAGCTGTAAAAACATTTTTTATATCTTTATTTCTTTCTATTGCCAGATATTCTTTTTGTAACCTGTTGACACACATACTATGTTTTGACATTTTTATTTTACAAATTTGATAGTATAAATACTATATCAATTAATTAAAAAACTAAAAAATGAAACAATTAAATAATGAAACAACTTAAAAAAATAAAATAATAGTAATGCTGATAATAATATTATTATTTTAATACAATAAGTTTATAAAAATAAAAAAATTTAAAAAAATAATAAATTTAAATTTTTTTATTTTTTTTTTATTTTTTTTATTTTTTTTATTATTTTTTTTTTTTTAATTAAATAATTTAATTATTTTTTTTTAATAATATATTATATTTAAAACTCACTTTCAATACACCCACATAAATACAAAACTCCTCACCACCAATACACCCTCCCCACATTATTACACACACTTATAGTTTTTTTTATTATAAAATAACATACACAAATATCAAAAAGTTTTATTTTTACCTAATATCTTATCATTAATTATTTTTCTATATAATATTTTTTTAACTAATCATTATTGTTTCAATGTCATATTATTTATCAAACCTAAGAGAAAGAATTTTTGGAACAAATAATAACGACAATAATAATAATAAAAATAACAATAAAGATTATAAAGAAAACGACACCTATTCAACAACAGCATCTACATCAAATAATGATTTAATAACCACATCATTTAAAACTGACTTGTATCAATCGGTTTTAGTTGATAAAGTTAGGGTATTGGTGATTGGTGATACAGCAGTTGGTAAATCATCGTTAGTTCATCTTATTTGTAATGACGAAATTTTAACTAGATCCCCATCATGGACCGTTGGCTGCAATACAGATGTGAAAATGCATGAATATCACTCAAAAGATTATTATATAGAATTTATAGATATTGGGGGTTCATCAAAATACAAAATCACAAGACCAATATTGTATCATCAAATTAACGGGATAATAGTAGTTTATGACCTTACAAATAAAATCTCCCTAACAAATGTCAAAAAATGGTTATTTGACATTTTAAACAAAATTTCAAACTCCTCATCAAATTGGAAATTAAAAGAAACTGAACATTCTCAAATATTAGAATTAGAAAATCAAACCGAACAAAATAATAATTACAACAACAATAACAATAATGAAATTTTATTTAATAACAATAACAATAATAATGTTATCAACAACAATACTAATACTAACAAAAATAAAAATACTGATCCAAATATTAGAAGATTAAATTTTATAAATAGTCATAATAATAATGGGTTACAAAGTACAAATACTAGCAGTGTAAATTTAAATAATAATATTAGACCATCTGTATTTTTATCACAAAACTCACTATTCCTACCTACAAATACAGTTATATCCCCACCAACACAATCACCGATCAATAAAATAAAAATCAAATCAAAAAAATCAAATTCACATCTTAATATTCCAGTATTAATATTAGGCAATAAATCAGACCTATCATTTGATAAAAAGTTTATTGAAAGCGATTCATTGGGAAAATTAAGTTTATTAGTTAGTGCTAAAGTCAAAAATCAATTCTCCTCTTCCCAATCACCCCATGTAGCCAGCAGATTAGAAATATTTTATAATAAAATGATTTCAAATATAATTTCAAATAAAAGAGGTATCAATGCAAACAATATGACCTTCAATAATCAAATCTATGGTTCATTAAACAACACCAATAATAACAATAATATTAAAAATGATATTAATAAAAACAATACTAAAAGTGAAACAGTTATAGATAATATTGAAACAACTGATAGAGATGATAGTGACACCAAAATAAATATAAATGACTACACATTAAACTATGACACACGGCCAACACTATACTCTATAGACACAAATAATAATATAAACAGTGCAAACAACTCCATAATCAACACCTCCTTACCATCAACAACTACAACCACGACTCCTACAATAACATCAACTCCATCATTATCCACAACAATGTATCCTATTGAACATAATGAAAGCAATAGCAATAGCAATAGTGGATATAGCAGTTTTACAAATACCAACTCACCACCATTATTTAATACAAGCTCACCCTATCATTACAACTTCCTATCTCCAACAGTCTCATCACCAATAAATTTAAATAAACAGTTTCAACAACAAATGAACAATACAATCCCAAGAACACCCTTAAGAGCTAGAAGCACATCATTTGAAAATAAAAACAAATAAAACAAATAAAATTGTATATATTTTTTTTTTTTTATAATTTACTTTAAAAGTCATTCTTTTAATTTTAATTTATTTATTAATTAATTAGTTTATTTATTTATACTATTATATGACATTTCGATAGCCCTTTTTCTTTCGTATAATTTTGATAATTGATATTCCAATAATTTTTTTCTAGTTCTTCTATCATTTAAAATTTTAATTTTCATGTCCATTGATTCATCAATTGGGGTATCACATAACTCTATCATTTTTTTAATATCCTGTTCAATCTTTTCTAATGGCTTGATTTTAGCATGATACTCTTGAAGTTTCTTTTCAATATAAGCTGATGATGTTAATGGTATTTCTCCGCTATCAGACTCCTCAACCTCGTCATTGGAAAAATCACAACTTTCAGATGATGTTATACTTGTATTTGTATTTGTATTTTTATTCTTATTACTATTATTATTATTATTATTATTATTATTTATATCTTGCTTTGGTGATGGTGGTGTTTGTATACTACTATCAGTGCTACTGTTTCCTGAGCTTATTTTTTCATTTATTGCTATTGATGGAATATTACTATTAATATTATTACCATTATTATTGGTTTTATTTGTATTAATTGGTTCTTTAATTTCTTGTTTTAGAACACTAATAACTTCAACCTGTTCTTTTTCATCGCCACTATCTTGATTTGGTGATTCTTGTTTTGTTGATTGATTTAATAAATTTTGAAAAAGTTGACTATGGGAATTTGGTAAGTTACTGTGGGTAATAATGGCATTTTCTAAAATGAAATCTTTATGATTAGAGTTAAATGGTAGGGTATACCAACTATTATTCTGGGTGTTATAGAAGGCTCCAAAATTCCAACCAAATAAAAATAACTTATGGCCATAATCGAATAACATTTTAAAAGGCTTTTCTTTGCACCCATCCATAGAGAACATTGTTGGAAATGGTAAAGTTTTCATACGATTTGATGTAATTGAAAAACGTTTAAATGATTTAGTTGATAATATATAGATATGATTATTCTTTCTATCGTTTCTAACGGCCAATATTTTACCATCTGACTCTGATAAAGTGAACGAATGGAAAAGTCCTGTGCAATAACCATATTTAATACTGGATGTATTGAATGTATATACATTATAATTTAAAGTAGTAGCTGTGTTGGAAGCATCACCGGTACTAACCTCACCGCCAAAGAGATAAACCATTTTAGTGCCATCATAAACTGCTAAAAGATTTGATAATGGTTGGTCATAACTATCTATAACTGCATAGGTATTGTTTGAGGTATCGTATGCTCTAATCTCTTTAACCATTGTACCATTCTTTATTCTTGAACGACCACCGAAAATATAAATTGTTTTAAAGCCATCATAAACTGGTGTTGAAGTGTTGTCCATATCTGCTGGTAATAATCCCATATTCTCCCAACTGTTTGTTGTAAAACAAAATCTATATAAATATTTTGATGATATTTCTTCATTTTCATTATAACCAAAAGAATATATATATTTATTTGCAACTTGAACCCATGAACCTCTTCTATTTGATAAATTGCCGCTTTGAATATTTCTCCATTTCATATCAGTTAAATTTAACATTTCAATTTTATAACTATTATTTATTATTTTTTTTATTTGTTGTTGAGAAGGAATTTGTTTTGTTTGTTGCGTTATTTGTTGTTGTTTTTTAATAACATTTATTTTTGGTTTGTTATTATTGTTATTACTATTATTACTACTATTATTATTATTGTTTTCACTATTATTATTGATTTTGGTGTCATTTTTGCTTAAAAGTTTATAAATAAAAAATCCATTATCTGATAAATTATTTGTAGAAAATATAGTACCATGGTTTTCAATATTGATATTTTCAAAATTTGTTAAAAGTACACATGAAAGAGATTGATCTATAAAATTTGATTTTGATTTGTATTTATTCATTGAATGGGTTCTTTCGCAAACCTCAACAAAGCAATCACTGTCATCAAATAAATTCTTTTTTTCTTGTTTTGGTATTTTACAAATGTCTTTATAAATTGAGTTTATAAGACTGTCATCAACAGTTGTTGATGTTATCGTTGTTGTTGTTGTTATTGTTGATGTAATAGTTGGTTGTTGAAGTTGTGAAGATGATGGTGGTGATAATGATTGAATATTTGTAACACCATTGGTACTGTCATTATAAACTTGATCCTGATCCTGTGGCTGAGATGTCGCTAGGGTTATAGTTGTAGTGGTTGTAGATGATGATGATGATGATGTTGTAGTGGAATTTGAGTTGGTCGCCGATGCAGCCGTTGATGTTGTTAATGATGATGATGAATCGCTATCACTTTCTATATTACTGTTACTAGAACTACTACTGCTGCTACTATCATCCAATTTTATTGGTACATAACATTGCTCTAATGAATCCAAATATTTTAATTTCTCTTGAATGCTAAGCTTTTTTTCGTTGAATTTATCTTGCAATTGTTTTAACATTTGAGCTTCTCTATTATTCATCAGTATTCTGAGATCATTGAATTGGTCTGATATTGCTGTTTTACATGATTCGTATGAATTTAATAATGAACCGATCTCTTCTTGAAGTGAATTTATCTTTTTCTGATAACTGTCATAAGTTGGCATATCTTGTGACAATTCGTTATATTGGGACAGTATAAATTCAAACTCTTCGACCTTATCCAAGTCTTTACATTTATGCTCCTTGTGTGCACCTAAAATACATGACCTACAAACTAGACTATCACATTCGATACAATATGAAAAATATTTTTGTTCTTGATGGAATTTACATGATTTTTGTCTATTGTAAATTGGTAATATCATTATTTTTAATTATTTATTTATTTTATTTTATTTTATTTTACTAAATATTTATTTAGATTAACTTATTATTACTATATTATTATTATTTATACTATTTGTAATACTGGGGTATTGTAATGTTGTAAAATTATTTAAATGTTTAAATATACAATTTATATAAATTAAACATTAATTATTAATTTTAAAAAAAAAAAACAATAAAAAAAAAAAATTTTACTATTTGATGGTTTATTGTTTTTTTTCTTTATGGTTTGGGTTAAGTTTGTTGGGGGTCTGATTAAATGTAGGGGTTCCTGTTGATTGGATATATAAATAGGGTGTGAGTAGGTGTGGTGATTAAAAAAAAAAAAACTATTATTATGTGTGGTTATCTATTTTTTTATTATTTATTATTATTTTTTGAATTCAAAAAAAAAAAATAAAAAAAAAAAAGATAAATTTATAAATAATAATTTCTAAATTAATATTCTATAAAAATAAATACAATTAATTTTTTATTATTATTTTAAAAATAATTTAAAAAAAAACAAAAAAAAATAAAAAAAAAAATATTTTAAAAATTAAAAAAAAATAAAAAAAATAAGTGTGATTTTTAACCACAGTTAAAAAAAAATTCTAAGTGTGTTTAAATTAAAATATTATAGTTTAAAAAATAGAGTTAAATTAATATATAAAATAATTCTATATATAACACACACAAAAAAAAAAAAAAAAAAAATCATATGAGTGAAAATGGATTAGGGTTTATAATTTTAAAAACACCCAAAAAAAAATAAAAATAAAAATAAAAATAAAAAAAAAATAAAAATAATAATAATAATAATAATAAATATTTTTGTGTGTATATCTATCTATTTTTTCGGATCTTAAGTTGAGTGTTTTGTGTGTATGGGGTGGGTATACTAAGAAAAAAAATAAAAGAAATAAATAAAACTAAAAATAGATTTTTTTAATATTTTTATTTTTTTTTTGGAGCATGTTATAATGATGATTATTTAATAAATAATAATCTTAATGGTGTGTGTGTTCGTGTTGTTAATGATAATAATAATAATTATTATTTTTGTTATTATTAATACAGGATTGTATTAATTATTATGTTTAAAAAACAAAACAAAAAAAAAAAAAAAATAGAAAAAAAATAAAATGAAATATGATGTTAAAAATGATGGTTACTTTATTTTATTGTTGTTATAGTTTTTAATTTTGGTTGTCGTTACTAATTACTATTATGATTATATATTATTGTTTATTATATATTATTGTTTATTAAATATCGTTATTATTTTTATATTATTATTATTTACAGATATTTTTTATTTGTTTTGTGATGAAAATATTTGAAAAAATAAAAATAAAAATTTTGAAACAGCGAAATTTAAATTTTGGAATAAAATAAAAAAAAAATATTTATGAAAATATTATTTAAATTGGATAAATAAAAGAAAAATTTGGTTAATATTTTAACGGTTATTTAAATGTAGATTTTTAAAGTATTGTTGTTTTTTTAATTTGGATGGTATTTAAAAATACCTTTAATTATAATTATTTGTTTTTTTTTTTTTTTTTTTGTTTTTTTTTTTTTTTTTAAACGAGTTGGAAAATACAATAGAAAAAAAAATGAATGTTTAAACAAAAAATTGTTTAAGCATTATTTTTTTCGGTTTGTGGGTGGTATTTGTTGACAGCAGTCATACCTTGGAGAATAGCATGTTTGGCAAGTTCACCAGTTAAAATGATACGGACAGCAACTTGAATATCACGAGAGTGGAGAGTGTGTCTCTTTTTCTTTTTGGCTAAACCACCGGCTTCATTGGCAATACGTTCAAAGATATCGTGGACGAATGAATTCATAACAGCCATGGCTTTTGAGGAGATGGTGAATTTCTTGTTTTCAGATTTACCAGTGGATGGGGTGATTTGTTTTAATAATTTGTGAATATAAGTTGAGAATGAGGTGTAATCAGACTTCTTTCTTTTGGTTTTCTTCTTTTCACCACCTTCGGCAGTCTTGGTAACTTTTGGAGTTACAGCTTTTTCTTTGGATTCTGGTTTTTTGGCAGCTGGTTTGACCATTTTGAATTATGTTTGATTTAAAATGTGTTTGTTTATTAAATAAAAAAAAAAAAAAGTTTGGAAATTATAAAAAAAAACACAACAGAGAAATGTTTTTAGATGTAATACAAATAATTAAAGTAAATTTTGAAATAATAATTTAAAAAAAAAAAATTTTAAAAATTTAAAAAGTAAAATTTTTTCAAAAATTAAAAAAAATTAAAAAAAAAAAACAATTTTTTATATTGTTTTTTTCAAATTTTTTTTTAAAAAAGTAATGAAAATTTTTTTTTAATATGAGTTTTTTATTTGGCGCTGAATTGGTGGGGGTGATAATTTAAATTCAAATTTTTAAAATCCGTTAATTGTATTTTTACTTATTCTTCCATTTTTGACCAAAAAATTAAAATAAAATTAAAATAAAAAAAAATAATAAACAGATAAAATAAAAATCCAAAATGATCTTTAAATCAGGTCCTCTTAGAATTTAAAACAATAAAAAAATTAATTTATTTATATTTTTTTATTTTAATTTTAATTTTAATTTTATTTTTCCTGATTACCAAAATAAACATCATTTTATTATTTTATATTAAATAATATTTATATCCTTTATTGAAACAATTAATATTTATTTATTTTTTTATTTTTTTTTTGGATCTTTTTTCATTGATTTTTTTTTTTTTTAAAAATTTAATAATTTTTTAAAAATTTTAAAAATATTTTTTTTTTATTTTTTTTTTATTATTATTTGTATAATTTTAAAAAATGATTCAAACAAATTTAATAAAATTAATAAATAAAAATAAAAATATTTTAAAAAAAATAAATTATAATAAAATAAATTCAAATTTTAATAAAAATGTATTATATGTAAATCAACAAAATAATAATTATTTAGCCAAAAATAATTTTACCACTTCATCAAATAACAATAATGACAATAATAAAAATGTTTTTGAAAAAAGTTTAGATCAATTTATAAATCCAAATATTAATCGAAATACATCAGCATTTGATGATATTGTCGATTCACAAAATACTATTGAAATAAGAAATGTACCATCAAATATTACAACAAGAGATATTTGGGAAGGTTTTAAAGATTTTAAAATTGTTCCACATGGCATTAAAATGGTATTCGATGGCGAAAATGGATTTGTTTATATTTCGTTTCAAAACAAAAAAGATTTTACCAGAGCAGTTGAAATGAAAGCATTCAGTTTTCAAGGTTCAAACTATTCAATAACACCAATCAAATCAACATTACAAAATTGGGGTGATAGAGATAAAAATGATGGCACCCCACGTACTGGTTATTTAAATCGTACTGCAGTAACTGACCATCTTTGGAAAAGCAGAAAGTCAAAGGACCAAAAAATTGTCAACGCAAATTCAGTAAATAGTACAGAGAATAATAATAGTGCAACATCAACATCATCAACAGTAATCAAGGAACCACCACCAGTTTTAAAAGTTAAAACTCCAGAGGATAGTCATACCGAGGTAGACTTGTTTTTTAGTTCAGACTATGCACTAAGGGAAATGTATCTTAGTCCATATGGCCATTTAAGAGTTGGTAGATTATTAGAGGATTTAGACGCTTTGGCTGGTACCGTATCATTTAAGCATTCAGAAAATGATGAAGACAACTTTAAGAAAACCATTGTCACTGCAAGTGTTGATCGTATTAAATTATTGCAACCATTAATACCAGATAGAGATATTAAAATGGAGGGTGTTGTTACATATGTAGGTAAAAGCTCTATGGAAATTATGATTAAGCTCCGTTCAAAAAATAACACTACACAAAATTGGGAACCAGTGTTAGTAGCTTACTTCACCATGGTAGCTAGAGACAAGGGAAAGTCATCACCAGTCAATCACTTAAAAGTTGTTACACCATTTGAAAAGAGACTTTTCCAAGATGGTGAAAAGCACAAGGCATGTCGTATAAGCAATCAACAAAACTCACTCGAAATTACCCCACCAACTGCCTCAGAATTACAAATTATCCATAATCTCTTTATGATTGCTAAAAAAGAATCCGATCTTGAATTAATTCCAATGAAGGATACAACTTGCACCTCTGTACTTTTATGCCAACCTCAAGAAAGAAATATCAATGGCCAAATATTTGGTGGCTATCTAATGAGAAAAGGTTTCGAATTAGCCTTTTCATGTATTTTCCTCAAGTTTAATGAATCATTACCACTTTTTGTTGCAATGGATGATGTTACATTTTATTTACCAGTCGAAATTGGCGATATTTTAGTAAGTACCAATTATTTTATTATTATTACTTTTTGGATAATATATATTAATTTATTTCTAAATTATTTAATTAGACATTAGAGTCAACTATTGTTTATTCACACCCAGTACCAAATGAGGTTCAAACTTATTATGCACAAGTAGAAGTTTGTGCATATGTTACAAATCCATATATTGGAAAAAAGAAATTATCAAACGTTTTTAATTTCACCTTCTATTGCTCACCAAAGGGTGAAGGATCTAAACCAATGGACCCATCTGCACCACAACCAAAAACTAAACAAATTTTACCACAAACTTATTCACAAGCTATGTCCTATTTAGCAGGTAGAAGAATTGTCGATCGTCATAGAGAATCTGAACAAAGTCCAGATAACATGGCAATTTGGGATGAATAAAAATTAATAAATAAAATAAAGTACTATAGTAATATTAAAAAGATAATAGTTTATAATTTTTTTTTTTTTTATTTTTATATATTTATTTCTTTTAATAATAAAATATATTTTTTAATTTTGATAATGTTACAAATAAATTTTCTTCAAAACGTATTGGTACATTATTAAAATTAAAAAGTGTATTGATGTGGGTATCTGGAATTAAAACTTCACTATTTAATCTGTCGGCTGGATTGAATTTTTTGTGATTATTTGCAAAAATGATTAAAAGATGATTGTAACGCTTGGCATTGTTTAACATTGGGTCGGTTGGGGAGGGGAATTGTTCACCGAAATCGGAAAGTAAAATGGAGTAGTCATAGGTTTTGGTGTCTTTATATTCGCATGTGGAGGCTATTTCATCCATAGAGTTTACCAAACGAACATGATGACCCCAATAATAACCTTCTTTTTTAATGTTTTGTGGTGAAATAACACGACCTAAAGTATATTGCTCGTCAGTTGTATTGATTATTTTAGATAACTCTTCTTCGGTGAAGTTTTCTTGTTTCATATCGATGGTAACACGAGTACCTGGATTTAAACGCTTTGAAATTAATACTTGTTTTTCTAAACCAACACTAATAATGGACTGATTTCTGAATTGTTGATCGGTAACTACACCCTCTCTGTAGAGCTTATCGTCTGCGTTGACTTCTTCTTGAGTGCTGTTTAATCTGTTTAATTTATCTACATAAAAGAAATCTTTGTCCAATGTATTGAAAAGCTCCTCTCTTAAATAGGATGGGGTTTCAATGTACTCTAGTATCTTTAAAAGTAAATTTAAGTTTGATTGTTGTGTGTTGTCAGTGTCATCATAATCGTCGGTTTTATATACTATAATTTCATCAATCTTGTTCATTGTGACCTGTCTTGAGATCATTTCGATTACATAGGTTTTCATCTCTTCACTTTCGATATCTTTTAAACAGTCTGATGGTATGGCAATTGATACAGTTGAGTTTTTATTTTGTTCTAATAATAATTTTTGTTTATTTAATGAGATTTTAATTTTATCAATTTCATCTTTAATATCTCTTTTTTGTTTTTTAATTTCTTTTTCTTTGATCATTAAATCCAATTCTTTATTTTCTAATTCTCTTTTTTTAAAATCTAAAATTTTGCTAATTTCACTACCATTACTATTACTATCATTGGTTTCAATGTTTGTTGTTGTATCTTTATTTGTTATTTCGGTTGATAATGTATTGGTGTTATTTGGTTGATGATCTATTATCATTTTTCTTTTTGGTTTCTTTGGTATAACTTTTGGTTTCTCTATTTGAGTTTCTTGTGGTTTTTCAATATCTTCTAATGTTGGTTGTGATAATGCTGTAAATTTGGTCTCTTCCTCATTATTATCATTATTTCCTGTATCAAAAAATGAAATTAATGAATTAAATCCATCAACAGCTGATGAGTTGGTAACATTTTTTTGTTGATTGGACTTTTTCTTTTTTTGTACCATTTTTAAATATGTGTATAATTAAATTATCTTTATTTTGGAAAAAAAAAAAAAAAAAAAACGAAAAATATTAAAAATAAAAAAATTTACGAATTTTTTTTTTTTTTTTAAATATTTAATTTTAATTTTAATTTTTTTTTTTTTTTCATTGCTTTATCAATCAGATATTTAATTAATTAATTTTCATTAATTATTAAAAATAATTACTAAAATAAAAAATAAAAATAATAAAAATTTAATTTTTTAATCAATTTAATATTTTAATCATATTTTATGAGATTTTAAAATTTTAAAATTATAAAATTATAAAATTATAAAATTATAAAATTATAAAATTATAAAATTATAAAATTATAAAATTACATTTTCCAAAAGAAAATTAATTTAAAAATCTTTTTATAAAATAATCAAACCAGGTCAAAATTTAAGAACGAATATTTGATAAATTCTTATATTTAATTTATTTATTGGTTAATGTTGGTTTTTAATATTTTATTATTTGGTATATAAATATCCTTTTTTACAAAATAACATCCTATCTATATAGACACAAAACAATATCATTTTTCATATTTTATTTTTAATTTTACCACTTCACACACACCTAACATATACACCCTAAAAAAAAAACTTCATTGTTAATATTTTTTTTCATTTATTTTTTTAACCCACACCCACCAACACCCCTCCCACTAACACACAAACAAAATATAAAATAGTTTCAAAGATGAGTTCAATAACAAGTTTATATATAGTTTTGGAATGAAAAAAAATAAAAATAAAAAAAGTAATTGAAAAAGAGGGGTTAAGAATCTACAAAAAATATTAAAATAAACAAATTTGCTTATTATTTCCATATTGATATTAATGAAATCATTTTTCATTTCTGTTGTGTTTTTATTATTTTTCTTTTTTGTTAATGTATTTTTAAATTTAATTTTTATTTAATTTTTTCAAATATTTAAATTTTTTTTTTTGTTCTAAAAAATATCATTTAAATTATTATTATTTTTTTTTATCTATTATTCAATTAATTCAATTATAAAATAACATAGCAATAATACAATAATAAAAAACAATTAATCACCATAAAAAAAATAAAATAAAATAAAAGAATAAAAAAATAAAAAATGAAATTATTATTATTATTAATTTTAATTTTAACAATAATTGTCTCAATTAGAGCTGATAAAGAAACAAGAGTAGTTAAGCTCGACAATGAGCAAAGTGTTATGGATCTTTCGTTCAACAGACATTCAATTGTTCAATTCGAAATTGATAAAGACTCAGTCAACGAATATAAAATTAATTACAAAACTGCTCCACAAGGTGCCCCATCAATTGAAAATATCCTTTTAAATAATAAGAACCCATCTGCCACTGTTGTTTTTGATGCTGATGGTGAATACGAAATTGAAAATACTGTCAATAAAAACTTATTAAAACTTAAAATTCAAAATCTATACGTCAAGAGAGCAGGTAACTTCAAAGAAAATGACCATCTTGGTAAAGAAATGCTTGAAAAAGATACATATGGTGAATATCACTCAATTGTTGGCAAATATGACCAAGAACAAAAAAGCAAAAATTCACAACTTGAAAATAACGAAAATCTTTCAAACTTACAAAATGATGTTAACCAAGTAACCCAACAACAAAACCAAGCCAATAGAAACACACCAGCCAAATCAAATGCTGCTCCAAAAGCTGCTGCCTCCAATAATGCTGCTCCAAAAGCTGCTGCCTCTAATAACGCTGCTCCAAAAGTTAGTGACGCCAAAGCTGCCGATGCCAAAGTTGATGCCGCCCCAGCTGATGAAGTCAAAGCCGACGCTGCCAAAGCTGATGCCGCCAAAGCTGAAGGAAATTCATCAAACATTATTTCTGTCTCAATTAAAATGGTTGCTATTATTGCAGTCTCTTTAGTTGCTTTCTTCTAAAAAAAAAAAAAACCAATTTATCCACCCACTTAGTAACATTACATAATCATTATAGTTTTTTAAAAAATATAAAAATAAAAAAAATTAAATTATAAAAAAACCTTTTATACATTTATCAAATAATGTTTAAATAAATAATACTATTATATTTTAATTGTTTATTATTAATTTGTTCATTTTAAATGAAAATTACTATCTATATTATCATCGGTAAATGAATTTCCTATTATTGGTGAAGTGGATACTGATGAGAAAGTATTTATATTATTAATGGTTGGATTTATATTTGATGTGCTATTGGTTGATATATTTAAAGAGGATGAAGTGCTTGAGGATATTGTAGTTGTTGTAGTTGTGGCGTTTGTAGTTGTTGTAGTTGGTACATTGGAGGAAGAGGTTGTTGTATATAAAAATGAAGAGGTGCCTCTATAAATTTTTAATAAAATATGTATCCTTGGTATTAAATCTTCGAATGCTAAAACCATTGCTTTGTTTTTTCCCTCTACAATAAAAGCCATATAAAATATAACATTATGTTTTGCAATACCTTCATTGATTACAATCTGTTCAATTTTATTTTTTTCTATAAACTCTACTCTTTCAGGTCTTAAAATATATTTTCTTCTTAATTGTACACCCAATTCTCTCATTACAATTAATGATTCTAGTTATAAATTATAAATAAATTGTTAATATGTATGGATAGGATTTATTATTATTATCATTATTTATTGATAGTGTTATATATGATATTTATTATTATATAGTTTAATTCTTACCTTCTTTAACTATAAATAATTTTAAATAAAATCTAAATAGAATTAATAATATTAAAAAATATGTCGAAAATGATTTAAATAATGATTGATTGTAATATTGGTGTTTTATAATTGTACAAAAGAATGTAAATAGTAAAAACCAATCAAAAAATGTAAATATAGATGTTGATTTTCTTGAGACTCTGTATTCTCTAACATCATTATTGATCGGTATGCAACTGTAATCCATTCTATATATAGATTTCGATATCTAAAGATATAGATATTTTATATTTATAAATAAATAATATTACTTCTGATTTATTATTATTATTATTTATAATTATAATAATTATTAATTATTATTATTAATTAAAGTTTTATTGTAGTTTTTGGTAAAATATAAAATAATAATTATAAAAATTAAAAAAAAAATAAAAAAATGAAAATATTTTTTATTTTTTAATATTTTTTTATTTTTTTTTTTATTTTTTTTTTTTATTTTTTTTTTGGACAAATAAATAATTGATAATTAATAATTGTTGGATATATAAACTTGAGAATATCAATGAAATAGTATTTTTTTTTTAAAAAAAAAAAAAAATCATTATTTTTTAAAAATAAAATTATCAATTAGTAGTTTTTTCAATTTTAAAAAACAAGAATTTAAAAAAATAATATAAAAATAATTAAAATAATCAATAATAATTATTCAATTTTTATTAAATAGTTTATGAAAATTAAAAAAATAATGATAAATATAATTATATTAGTATTTAAATATATATGATGAATAAAAATTAAATAAAATATAAAACAAAATAAAAAAACAAAATAAAAAAACAATAAACCAGAAATAAATATATGCGTTAATGTTTATTTGATAGGGAAAAAAAAAATGTTGATGATCTCAAAAAATCTAAATTTGTCACATAATTTTTTTTTTTTCGAGCTTGATAACACAAATGTATTTCTTAATAAGATTGCTAAACCAGATAATATGTCAAACTATGATTATGACTAAAAAAAAAATTAAAAAAAAATAAAATTAAATTAAAAAAAAAAAAAAATTTTGGTTTTTTCCAAGAGATATTTTGGAGCGGCGCATTTGCAGTATTTTTTCAACAGAATATATTTTTTTCAGAAAAAATAATGTGGTATTTGACTTTCCGGTACCAATAAATATATGAGAAAATTTTTATTATATTTTTTTTTTTAAAAAAAATTTTTTTTTTTTTTTTTTTTTTAATCAAAAATAATAATAATAATATATACAAACAAATAAAAATAAATAATATGAAAAATATATCATTACTTTTATTTTTCTTTTTATTATTACAAAATGGTATTTATTTATTTCAATTTTTATTTCATTTTTATTTTTTATATTTTATTTTTTAGTTTTTATTTAACATTTTTTTTTCATTCCATTTAATTTTTATAATTATTAAAAAGCTTATGGAATAAGGTTTTTCATAAGTTACATTTATAATGGGCCAGATTATTTTCAAATTAGTTTAAATGATACTTCAATTAAGACAGCAACCCTTAAATTAAATAATCAAGACATTACTTCATTATGTTCCTATCTCTCCATATCAGAGATGTATCATTGCCCAAATTTACCAATAGCAGATTATATTAAAAGTGGTGAATTCGAAGTAACCTATGAGGATTGGACTACCACATCAACCTATAATTTTGGTGTATGTATTATTATTTTTTATTTATTTTTATTTATTTTAGTTTATTTTTTATTTTTTTATTAATACTAATAGAATTATTTTAGCCACAAATAAATCAAATTGTATATCCATCAGGAAACCGTTTGCCAACAACAGGTGGTATTGTAACAATTAATGGCCGTTATTTCGATAAAACTACATTCAAAGGTACATCAAATGGTTTACGGTTATTATATAGAGAAGTTGAAATTACAGATTATACTTGGGTAGATAGAACACAAATTGTTTTTAATGTGCCACCAGGCACTGGTGGTTTAGGTTCATCAAATTTTAATAACATAGTACGTGTTTCTAGTTCCAATACCAATTCAGCTTTAACAGCTATGATTAGTTACAAATATCCAGCAACAGAAAAAAATATAGAATTTGATGACCAAACCAATATGATGACAATTTCTGGTTCTGATTTTGGTAATCAACCAAACCTAGTAATTGTATATGCTTGTGGTCATCCAATAAACAATATTCAAATGGTAACCCCACATACCAAGGTTTCTGCTTTTTATGATCCAGTTGTATTCAATAATAGATCTTGCAACTATGTATTTTTAGGTGTCGATAGTTTAAATTCAACATACTTGGCAAGTGAGTATAGTATTTTATCAATAAAGCCAAGAATTATCTCAATTTCAACACCACCAGTTCAAGGAGGTAGCGTTGAAATCATAGGCAATTATCTAGGCAATCTACTTGTTGGTGGTATTGATGGCCAATGGAGAGTTTATATCAATAGTGTAGAGTATACCACTTGCACATCGATTGATACTTGGAGACTAGTATGTTATACCCCACCAGGTACATTTAATTCAAACCTTCCAGTTCAAATAAAAGTCTTTAATGAAGTCTATTCAGATATCTTTAATGCTGTGTATGCTGAGCAAACTATTTCAAGCATTTCAAAACTTTATTATTCCAAAGGTGGCACAATTACAATTAGTGGCTCCAACTTTTTTGCCGGTTTACTTAGTATTGCAGTTGGGGGAATTACATGTATATCACCAAAATATATCGATATTAATACAGTTTCATGTTATTTTAGCGCAGACGTTCAACCAAAACCAAATGGTTTAGCAGTTTCCATTTATTCTATTAATGGTCAAATTAATGTTCCAGGGGCTTTTCAATATTTACCAGCTTTGTTGACTAATGTAGTTCAATCAAATGGCGATACTATTCAATTGATTGGCAATTATTTTTCAGATGAGATGACAGTTAAATTTGGAACAGAAGATATTACAACAAATTGTAAAACAGATGGACTCACATCCATAACTTGCATCCAAATTCCTAATGTCCCAAGTTCCGATATTGTTATTACTGGTGGTGATTCTACAACCTATAGCTCATTTATTTTAACTCCCTATCTTTTACACTTAAATAACAATCAAGTTCCAACTATTGGTAGCAAAGTTACAATTATTGGTAAATTCTTTGAATTATCAGTCAAAGGAAACCCAACCCAAACTTTATCTGTCATTGTAAATGGAAATCAATCATCAAACTTAAAATTATTAAACAACTCTAGCATTGAATTCACTATGCCACCAGGTCAAGAAGATGGAGAGGTTAATACAATTGCAGTCCAATCAACTGACAAGGTTTCAAATAGCTTAGTCTATTATTATAAGGATTATGTAAAGATTACATCAGTTACTCAAATTAATCAAGGCTTAAAAATCAATGGTTATGGTTTTAAAATATCATCTGATAATGTAATTGAGTTTGGTTCACTTGATATCACCTCGTCTTGTATAATTAATAGCGATACTGATATTACATGTGAAACTCTTCCAGCAGGTTCCCAAAGCAGCTATTTCAAAATTTCAGGCAGTGGTGGTGCTTCAAACTATAAGGTATTATTAACTCCAGTCTTAATTTCAATTTCAAAAAATGTTTTAAATTCTGCAGGTGAAGCTATTAGTATTGTAGGTAGATTCTTTGAAAAAGTTGATCCAACAACCAGCCAACAAAATGTTATCAATGTTTATATTGACAGCAATCCAACTCCAATGCAAACAACTGTTCAAACCGAAGAATTAATTACTGTATCAATTGTAGGTGGTTACGGTGCAACTCATAAAGTCGTTGTAAAAACCGAGAATAGAGTCTCAAATTCAATCAGTTATTCATACAACCCACCAATTGTTACTGGTTTCTCCCAAATCAGAGAACAATTTTATGTTAGTGCCGAGCATTTCAGTAGGGATGATATGTCATTAAACAAAATTTTTGTTAACGACATTCAAGTAGTTACCGGTATTTCTCTATCAAATAATGATGAGTTAGAATTTATTCTTCCACCAACCACACAAAATGGTCAATTAGTTCTTGTAGTCGACGGTCAAAAATCAGTAGCATTCGATATCGCACTTTCGCCAATTATTAAATCATTTTCACCATTAAAACCATATATGGATGGATCAATAGCAGTAACTTTAAATGGTTTATATTTTTCAAATAAAAACTTCAAGACCGGTAACACCATTGATTTGGCTTATAGCTACATTTTAGAATCTGATCTTAGCAATAGTCTTTCCTTAACATGTGAATATTTAAATAGTGTATCAGCTAAATGTATAAATTTCAAAGGTTATGGCAATGGTTCTTTGCTTGTTACTAAAACAGATGGTTCAATAAAACTCGTTTCATACCTTTTTGGATTTAATTTCCAAGAACCAAAAGTAGTTAAATCAACTTCACTCCATTATAAACAAGGCTCAAATATTACAATTACAGCTGAAAGCTTTTTACCAGAAAACTTACAGGTCTTTGTTGAACAAACAGAATGCCTCAACCCAGTTGCATTAGATAATAGACATATTCAATGTTTTTATGACGCTTCAATTCCACCAAAAGAAAATGGCGACTCACTTAATGTTACCGTTATTTCACACTCAATGAAAGGAACCAATCAAGTATTATATTACCACGACTCATTAAAATGTGAAAATAACTGTACTGCCCCAAATGGTGTCTGTAATGAAATTAATGGCTATTGTGAATGTACACAACAATGGGAAGGTATTGACTGTTCAATTGAAAAGCAAACACCAGTATCACCACCAGAAATTAAAGATAATGGTGATTCAAATCTTCAAGGTGCCCAAATCAACTTTACCATTTCAATTGCATATTTAAGAGAAAATAATATTATGGGTGATCAAGTTAAATTACTTGACATGAAGTCAATCAAATGGGTAAATAAAACTATCACTGGTGATAAAACTTCATACTTTAGAGGAACTTTTGATAATGATCCAGCCATTGTAGAGTTAGATGTTACTTATTATAAAGATGCATTAAACTATGACTTTGCCGGTGATATCATTTCAATTCCAGACAATTCTGTTAAATATGTTATTACTGTTTCAAATTGGGATTTTGATTCATCACTTAATACTTTCCAATTAGTATACAACGCCCAAACTAAAAAGACAGTGACCACCTCATGTTCAACTATTGAAACCAATAGCACAGAATCTTCTGTTAAAGATCAATCTGTTTCATGGTTCCAAATTACATCAGGCACCTCTGTACTTAATGGTAAATTTGCTCGTAGAATTTTTGCTGATGATGCTGTTAAAAAATCATCCATCACAATATTACCATCAGATGATCCACTCTATAAGCTTTTAAATGAATCAGCCACAACAACTAATTCATACAACAAATTAACAGCTATTAATGCCCCTTACTTTAGAAATAATGTAATCTTGGATCCATCATTCTCATCTTTGTTAAGACCATCCGACGGTAGTGATAAATGTTCATCTGCTTCATGGAAAATACCAACCATTGCTGCTCTTTGCTCTGTAGGTGGTGCTGCAATCGTTGCTGGCGCTAGTGTTACAATATACAAAAAGAAGAAATTCCAAAAGTTCGAAAAGAAAATTAAAAATTTAAGTGTCACATCTTAATAATAATTATAATAAATAAAAAATATTATCTTTCAAACAATAAATACGAAAATTATAAAATTATAAAATTATTTTTTAGTTTAATTTATTTATTTAAAACTAATATTCTAATTTTGGAATTATGGATGTTAATAAAGAAAAATTGATTGTTGGATCATCGATTGAACAATAAGTTGTATAGATTTTGCTTGTTACTTTTTTTAAATCGAATAATTCTATTATTTGTAATGATGGGTTTGTAAGGGCTATATAACGTGGATTAAGTCCTCTTACTAATTGAAAACCGTTATCTCTAATAGCCAAAATTTCTATATTGTTTCCTTTAGAATCCATTGAAAAAAGTTGTTTATTGTTTGAATTTGTTTGATTGGCAGCAAAAACAATGAAATTACCTTCATAACCCGATATCACTGGTTCGTATATTTCAAAACCAAGTGAAAAAGTATTATAATCGTCCTCATTTAAAATATCTGCATATAAAAAGTGTTGACTAGATGCACCCTTTGGGCCTGGTAATGTTCCAAATGCAAAATAATCATTTGATGTAATATCATAATATGAACCTTGAAATTTAAAAAGACTGCTAAATATTTGAACACTCTTGCTAAAAAAAAATAATTATTAATACCCTACATTAAAACTATAAAAATAAAAATTTTATTACATACTAACTATCTGAAGAAATATTATAAATATTTAATTCACCAAAACTTGTAAATATAAAATAATTTAAAGAATCATCATATGAAATGGATGAATCAATAATATAATTAAATTTTTTTAAATTTGTTTGAACATATAACTCTTCTACTCCTTTTTTACTGATTATTGCTAAACTTGCTGAATTTGAATTAATACGCGATCCTAAATCTTTATATAAAAAAAAAAATTAGTAAATTAAAAAGAATTATTTAAAAATCCAGATTATTTATTTACATTTATGTTCACTTAAAACTAAAAGAGGTATATATCCTTTAACACTTTTATTTAAATTTGTGCAGCCCTCTTCAATTAATTCGAAGCCATTATCGAAACCATCTCCATAAGCAATTGCAATTGGTTTATCTTCGAATTGGCTTACATCAATTGGACCAGGCGTTATTATTTTTGTTTTATTCTTGCTACAATTTGTAAATGAAATAAAAATAAATAATAATGAAAAAATAAATAATAACTTGCACGTCATTTTGGTAACAAAAAATATTAATAAAATTATTATTTAAAAAATACAAAACAAAAAAAATAAAAAAATATATAAAAAAAAAAAGAAAATCTTTTTATTATTTTTCTAAAATATCTTTTTTTTTTTTCGAATTTTTTTCCTAAAAAATTAAGTTTTTTTTTTCAAGAGAAATTTAAAAAAGAACAACGATGACAAAAATAAAATACTAAAAAAGAAATTAGTCATTAATAAAGTAAAATTGTTTTACAACAAAAAAAAAAAAAAATAATTAAATTTTGATATATTTTGATATAATTGGAAATTTATTTAATAATTAAAAAAAAAAAAGATAAATGAAATAGTTTTATAACTAAACTATTTAAGCATCTTCTTCTTCATCTTCTTCTTCTTCTTCAGCATTTTCTAACCAATCAATGAATGGACTGCAAGTTTTGATGACAGTCTTTGATTTAGCTTTGTTGTGGTACCATTTGAGAATATTTTCTTCAGAGAGAACACCGGTATCATACAAGTTCTTTAAGATACCCATAATTGATTTTAAGAGAGCATCGTCTTTAACGCAAAGTTCCTCAAGACCTAAGAGAATACCTAATTTACCATCTCTTCTCTTTGAGATTTTCTTGATGAGAGCTTGTTGATTTTTGATGAGTTTAACAGTACCTTCAGCATTTTGACCCAAAGCTTCAATGGCTGCTTTAGCAGTAGCAGAACTTCTTAATTCAAATTCCTCTTGGACTGAATCAAGTTTTTCCATGAGTTCTTGGTCAGATGGACTTGAGGCAAGGAAAGCTGTAATTGATGAAACTGGATCTTGTGGTTCTTCCTCTTGTTGTTCCTCTTTTCCTTTGTTTGAAGAGATATCGACATCAGCCATCATATTAGCAACGACGGATGTAGCATCACCCAAAAAGTGTTTCTTTCTTTCTTCAGCAGCTTTTTCTGATGTATCAGTGAGCCAAACAACGTCATCTTCGTCTTCATCCTTCTTCTTTTTGCTCTTTTTCTCTTTTTTAACTGTTGATGATGAACCAGTGGTAGAAACTGGTGGGAGACCTGGTTGTTGAGCTAAAGCTTCATCATGGGTTGAACCTTTGGATGTTGAAGCCTTTGGTGGATTCTTGACGATATAACTGCTAAGTTTATGTTTCATATCAGCTGGACCTCTTTTACCGCAGGCAGCACATTTGAATTCAATAGCTTTGTTTTTAATAACAAATCTTGTTTCTGGATTTTTACAGAATGCACACAAAACGAATTTGTTAATAAATCCATCTAAAACATCTGCTAATCTTTCATTTGAGTGCTGGCCATTAATTGAATATTTATCACCTTCAATATTTGATTTGGTATTGAATTCAATTTCATAATATTTGGTAATATCTAAATATATAAAAAAAAAAAGCAATATTAGTAAAACTATACTCAAATTTATTTTTTTAGTTAATATTATAATTCTATGCCTACATTCTGGTGGTCTTTCTAAATCTCTTGCGATATTTGTTAAATTTACGATTACAGTTTTAATACCATTACCTTTACCTTCTACTTTTCCTTGTAAAACTTCCATCTTGTATCTATAGAATGGATCTGGTTCATTACGACGAATATTAACTAATTGTGCCATCTTGTTGGTTTATAATTGTGGTCGGTGGTTTATTATTTAGATTAAACAAAACTTTATTGTTATTAACTATAATTATTTTTTTATTTATATGATACTGTTGACTATGCATAAACTAAACCTTGACTATTTCAATTTGAATTTAAATTATTATTCTTATTTTTTTTCTTTTTTTATCTTCTAGAAAAATTTAAATTTTGTTTAAAAGAGTAAAAAAAAAAAAAAATTAAATTTTAAATAATAATTATTAAGATTGTTATTTAAATATTTTTTTTTTTTTTAAATTTGTTATTGATTATAATTATTTTATTTTTTATGTAAATAATTAATTATAATGTGAATTGTGTTTGATGTGAAAAAAAAATTATTAAACCTATTTTTTATTTTTTATTTATTTTAAAAAAAGTGTTAATTTAAATGATTTAAAAATTATTATTATATAACTAAAATGTAATATGAAGAAAAATGTTTTTTTTTTTTTTTTTTTGTTTTTTTAATAAGCGAGAAGAAAAATTAAATTTTATATTGTTATTGTTTATGTTTGTGTTTATAAAACTATATTATTATTTAAGTTGAAGACTGAAGAACAACATGATAGAGTGAGAGGATATAAATAAACTCCTTTTTCTTATGCTGAATATCATTGGCTATTTTGTTTAAATTTTTATTATTTTAAAAATAATAAACTTTATGTATAAATATATAAATAAATAAAAACTTGATTGTATCTAAAAACTATATTTTTTTCTACAATATCTAATTTTTTTTATTTAAATAACTATTATTTGTTGTTTTCTATGTGAAAAGGTTTTATTGTGTGAACTTTTTATAAGTTTGCGATATATGTGGTTTTGAATATAATTAAGAAAAAAATAAATAGAAAATTATTATGTAGAGTATTTGTTTGAGAAAAGTGTGTTTTAAAATAATAAAAAAATAAAAAAAAAGTAGTTAAATAAAAAAAAATTAAAAAAAAAAAAAAAAAAAAAAAAAAAAAAATTTTTAAATTAAAAATAAAATAAAACAATAAATAAATTAAAAATAATTAAAAATAATAACAAAAATAATAAAAATAATAAAAATGAAAAAAATAATTTCGTTATTATATTTATTACCAAATTAAAATATGAGTTTTTTTTTTTTTATATGAGTGAATATAAATGTGTGTATATGTGTATATATTATTTAATGAATGATATTTAATAATAATATTGTTGTTTTTGTTTAAAAAATAAATAAACAAATAATAATAAAAAATAAAAATCTATTTATAAAACATTACTATATTAAATTAATTAATACTTTTTTTTTTTTTTTTTTTTTTTGTATGTTCTTTATTTCTTATTTAATGTAATTATCTGAGCTATTTGTGAGAGGAATACGTTTTATATTATTTTGCTGATGATAGTTAAAGCGAAAAATGAAAAAAAAAAAAAAAAAAAAAAAAAATTTTTGAAAAAAAAAAAAAAGAAAAAATTAAAAAATTAAAAAAAAAGAAAAAAAAAATAAAAAAAATAAAAATAATGGTAATACGGATTTCTTTTTTTCACACACACCATTTACATCATTCCATATATAATCACTATAATGCTATTGGAATAAAATAAAATATTTTAATTTTATAATAATAGTGTAAATATATTTATTGTTATAAAACTTTATTTAAACTTAATTTTTCTTATTTTATTTTTTATTTTTTTTTATATTTTTTTATTTTTTTATATTTTTTTATTTATTTTTTTCCTTTTTTTTATTTTTTTTTATCCAAAATAAAATCAACTATATTTTTTAAAGCCTGTTTTGAGGAATTTGTATTTTGGAAATATCTAATTGTTAAGAAGCTGTGTGTTGCACCAGGAAATACAATCGGTGTTACCTTAACACCTGCTTTTTTTAACTTTTCGGAGAACTCTAACCCTTCGTCTTTCAGGATGTCCAATTCACCAAAAATTAATAAAGATTCAGGTAGATCTTTTAATTGTTCCACAGTAGCATTGATAGGGGAGACTAAATGGTGCGATTTTAGGGTATCATTTTCAATATATTGCTTTAGGAACCAATTAACAGCATCTATGCTTAGGAAATAACCATTGTATTTAGCATAGGATTCTCTTTCACGATTACAATCTACAGGTGGATTAATTAAAAATAATTTTTTTATATTTGGATCTTTATTTCTAGTATTACAAAGTAATAATAACGAGATAATCATATTACCACCCGAACTATCACCTCCGACAACTATGGAGTTTGAATCAAATCTTAGTTTTTTAGCAAATTCTTCAATTCTATTTACAATTAAGAAAAAAATTTCGTAACATTGTTCTAATGCGATTGGAAATTTGGCCTCTGGCGATAAACTATACACAGGAAACGCTACAATCGATTTAGAAAAGTAACAAATCTTCCTTGGGAGTAAATAGTCCTTTTTATTTCCTCCACAGCACCAACCACCACCATGTAAGTAATACACTATCGGAAATACTTTATTATCAAATCCCTCATCATATTCAACAGGGTGAAAAAAAATCACTTCTACAGAGCCCAAGTTATATTTATCATTGCAAAGTTTAAAGATTTCTTTTTTTTCAATACATGGATACTCCAAATCATCACAATCGCCATTATATTCAAAATTCTTTCTAATAGTTTCTATATCATTGTTTCCAAATATAATTGGTTGTTTCTGATAGTTTATACAAAATTGTTCAAACTCTTTTTCTAAAATAAATAAATAAATAAAATATAATAAAAAAAAAAAAAAGTTTAATAAAACTAAATTACTTTCTTTATTTTTTAATACTAAAATAAATAACTATTATACCTATAAATATATTTCTATCCATTAGTTTCTTTTTTATAAAAATAAAAAGATCGATTATTTTTTTTATTTTTTTTTTTATTTAAATTGTTTTGTGAAGAAAAAAATTTATATATTTTAAACACCCCATCACACACACTCAAAATTATGATAATAAAAAAAAAGAATATTCTTTTGTAAAATAATATATTATTATAAATATAAATTTTATATGTTAATTATTTTTTATAAAGTTTTTATTTAATATTTTTTATTTTGAAATTAACAAATAAAACCTATTATAGTTGCAGTTCCTTCTTTACAACAGTTTGTATTATTTAAAAATTTATACATTATAAAGTCATGGATTGCACCTGGAAACACTATACTGTTAACCTTTACATTTGCTTTTTTTAATTTTTCGCAAAATTCCAAACCTTCATCTTTTAAGACATCAAACTCACCCACTAAAAATAGAGTTTCTGGTAAGTTTGCAAGTTGTTCAATGGTGGCTTTGTTTGGTGCTACAAAAATTTCGTTCTTTTGATTTTCGTTTTCTAAATATTGATTAAAAAACCAAGCCATCTGTTGTTTAGTCAGATGAAAGCCTTCTTGAAATTCAAGATATGAGTTGGTGTTTAGGTTTGTATCGGTGACTGGGTTAATGAGTATTTGCTTTTTGATTTTTGGACCATTTTTCATTTTGCACAGTAGTGATGTTGTAATTGCTAGGTTTCCTCCTGCACTATCACCACCTACAACCAATGAATTGAAATCTATTCTATATTTATGTGCATTCTCTTCTACTCTGCATAAAATTTTGTAACATTGTTTTACTGCTATTGGGTATTTTGCCTCTGGTGATAGACTGTATAAAGGATACACAACGATTGATTTAGTTTTATTGCATAGTTCTCGTGGTAGTTTGTGGTCTACATCTTCGCCACCAAAACACCATCCGCCACCATGTATAAAGTATATGATTGGGAATTCGTTATGTTCGTATTCTTGGTATTCATATTCGTTGGGATAAAAAAATATAGCTTCAACTGAACCGAGATCATCATCCAAAAAGAATGTTTCTCTTTTTAAAATGCATGGATATAGATAAATCCCAGGGTTTAGTTCATTATATTGCCTTCTTAATTCTTCCATACTTGTTTTACCACTTATATCAATTTGATTTTCATGACTAAATTTACAAAAATTTTTTATATCTTCCTCTTTTATTTATTTAATAATTAATAAAAATATATATATATGTATTAATTATTATTTATTAACATACCTAAAAATGTTTTTTCTATCATTTTCTTTATTTCTTTCTTTCTTAAAATTTAATAGTTTTTAAAATATAGTATTTTTTAAAAAGTATGTGTTATAACACACCCAAAAAATTTTAAAAAAATAATTAAATTATAAAATTAAAAATAATTAAATTTTAAATTTAAAAAAATTATTTGTATATGGGCAGATTTAATTAAATAATTTGATACTTTTTTTTTTTTTTAAATACAAGGATAACAATAAATTTTAAAATTGAAAGATTTTAATAAATAATTACATAATTTTAAAATTTACTTTTAAATTTATAATTATTAATATTTACAAAAACAAAAATATATTGTTAATAATATGATATGTAGATTAAATAGTATTATTTATTAGTTAGTTATATTTATTTTTTTAATATAATTATTTAAGGATATTTATTGTTATTGCTTTGGTTTTTGTGGAGTTTCTCTTGATTTGTTAATAAAGTCAATTGATACATCCATTGCAGCACGGCATGCTTTAGTGCTGTCCAATGAATTAAGCATTACAAAGTCATGGATCATACCTTGGAAAAGTATATGTGTTACTGGTACACCTGCAGCACGAAGAGTTCTTGCATATTGTTCACCTTCATCACGGAGTACATCGGCTTCACCATTCATAATAATTGCTTCAGGTAAACCTTTAACATCATCAGGTGTTGCTCTGGCAGGTGAGGCTAAAATTTCATTTTTATCTTCATCACTGTTTAGATAGGCATCCCAAAACCATTTCATACCATCTTTTGAAAGATAGAAATCTTTGGCAAATTCTTTGTAGCTACCAGTATCCATTCTTGCATCAATACCTGGATAGTACAGCACTTGTCTTTTTATTATTGGGTAGTTATTACGCTTCTTTGCCATCATTGTAAGAACAGTTGCCATATTACCACCTGCACTATCACCTGCAATTACAATGTTATTTGTATCCCAGCCTTCTTTATCTGCCATCTCTCTGCATACTTTTACAAGAACTGCATAGCACTGTTCAATTGCAATAGGATATTTAACCTCTGGACTTAAAGAGTACTCTGGGAATATAACAACAGAGTTGGTACGGTTACAAATTTCTTGTACTAATTTTTTATGCGAATGTAAACCACCAAAAACCTATATTTAAAATTTATTAATTTTAAATTTTTACACATTCGTTTTAGAATACATACCCAACCAGCACCGTGGATGTAAAAAACAATTGGGAGTTTATCAGTTGTTTTCTTTTCTGGTGTCAAAATAAAAGTTTTAACCATTCCTAATTCTTTGACCAATTCAAACATTCTTTCTTCAACTCTACATGGATACATATAGCAAGGAGCATCTTGAACCTTGTCAACAGCTTTACGACCTTCTTCTGGCTCTAACTCATACAAAAATGGTGGCTTGCATGTATTATTACAAACATCTGCAGCTTCTTTTTCTATTTAAAATAATAAAATAATTTTAAATTAATAAAAATAAATAAATAAACAAACAACGATTTAAAATTACAATATACCTAAAGAAAAATTATTAAATGACATTTTAATGTAAATATAAACAAACAATGAAATAAAAGAAAAAAATAATTTTTTTTTTTTTTTTATTAATTACCCACTAAACCCCCACTTAATTTATTAATAAATTAATTTTGAAAATACAAATAAAAATAAAACATTAAATGTTACCAATTGATAGTATTTATATTTTAAAAATTTGATAAATTTGTTTTTATTTATTTTTATTTAAAAAAAAAAAAAAAAGATAAATGCTTATTGCTTTGGTCTTTGTGGAGCTTCTCTTGATTTGTTAATAAAGTCAATTGATACATCCATTGCAGCACGGCATGCTTTTGAATTATCCAAAGTATTTAGCATTACAAAGTCATGGATCATACCTTGGAAACGCATATGAGTGACTGGTACACCTGCAGCACGAAGAGTTCTTGCATATTGTTCACCTTCATCACGGAGTACATCGGCTTCACCATTCATAATAATTGCTTCTGGTAAACCTTTAACATCATTGGCGGTGGCTCTAGCTGGAGAGGCCAATATGTTATCCATATCTTTTGAGCCATTAAGATAGGCGTCCCAGAACCATTTCATACCATCTTTTGAGAGATAGAAATCTTTGGCAAATTCTTTGTAGCTACCAGTATCCATTCTTGCATCAATAGCTGGATAGTAGAGAACTTGTCTCTTAATTGTTGGGAAGTTACGTTGCTTAGCCATCATGCAAAGAGCAGTTGCCATATTACCACCTGCACTATCACCTGCAATTACAATGTTATTTGTATCCCAGCCTTCTTTATCTGCCAACTCTTTACAGGCTTTAACGAGAACAGCATAGCATTGTTCTAATGGAGTTGGAAATTTAACCTCTGGACATAAAGTATACTCTGGGAAGATAACGACAGAGTTGGTACGGTTACAAATTTCTTGTGCTAATTTTTGATGTGAATGGAAACCACCAAAGACCTATATTTATTATTATTTGTTATTAATACAGCTGTGCTCTATTAAATAAAACAAAAGTAGTCACTTACCCAACCAGCACCGTGTACATAAAGAATTATTGGAAGTTTTTCAGTTGTTTTCTTTTCTGGAGTTAAAGTGAATACTCTAATGGTGCCTAATTCTTTTGATAGTTCCATTTTACGTTCATTTACTTTACATGGATACATATAGCATGGAGCATCTTGAACCTTGTCAACAGCTTTACGACCTTCTTCTGGCTTTAAGTCATACAAAAATGGTGGCTTGCAGGTGTTGTTGCAAACATCGGCAGCTTCTCTTTCTATAATTTTTTTAAATGATTTTTGAAAGTAAAAAAAAAATTAATTTTAAATTTTTTTTTTTTTTTTTTTTATTAATAAAACTATATTACCCAATGAAAAATTTTTAAACATTTTATTTATAATCTTAATAACTATATTACAATAATGAAGTAATTACTTGTTATGAATTAAAAAAAAAAAAAAAAATAAACAAAATTTAAATTTAAAATTATTTTTTCGGAGTATGCTAGATCTCCATAATACTACAAAATCCCCAATAGTTTTATTTTACCCCTTTAGGTTGACAACTAAAATTTTTATTGCTGAACAAAGTAAAAATATAAATCCAAAAATAATATATAACCACACTTTTTTTATTCCCACAGCAATATAATGCACACGTGATGCACTCTCATATATATTTTTTCTCATACATATTATATATTATATAATACCATATAAAAAGGTAAACAAAGAAATAAATACATAAATAAATAATAATTTTAATTTAATTTAATATCACCAAAAAAGCAATTTCATTTGATTTAAAAAAAAAAAAAAATAAAAAAAAAATAAAAAATTTTAATTTTTTTTTAATTTTATAAAAATAATTTTTTATTTTTCATTTTTTTTATTTTTTATTTTTTTTTAAATTTTTTCATTTATCTTTTTTATTTATAAATAAATTTGTTGGAAATGACATCAAGAAGAGGAGCACCATCATCATCATCAACAGTTTCAAAAGACAAATATACAATTATTTTACCAACTTATAATGAAAAGGAAAATCTCCCAATCATTACTTGGTTAATTAATTCAGAATTAGAAAAAAAGTAAATTATCGATCTTCACCATCACCATCACCATCACCATCACCATCACCATCACCATCACCATCATTATTATTTGTAGTTAATATTATTTATATTTATACTAATGTTTTATTTTCATAAATTATTTAAAATTCAGTTTTGTCGATTACGAAATTATTATTGTTGAAGGTAAAGGTTTAGCAAGTATTTGATCAAATCATAAAAGAATCCAATTTAGTAACTGTTTTATTTTATTTTTTATTTTTTATTTTTATTTTTTAATTTAGATAATTCACCTGATGGAACATTAGAAATTGCTAAACAACTTCAAAAGATTTATGGTGAAAATAAAATACAAATTATTTCTAGACCTGGTAAGATGGGTTTAGGTACAGCATATATGGATGGTATTAAGAAAGCAAACGGTAATTGGATTATTTTAATGGACGCAGATCTTTCACATCACCCAAAATTCATTCCACAATTTATTGAACAACAAAAGAAACACAATTATGATATTGTAACAGGTACCCGTTATCAATTTGGTGGTGGTGTTTACGGTTGGAACTTCAATCGTAAATTAACATCACGTGTTGCCAATTATATTGCATCCGTATTATTAACACCAGGTGTATCTGATTTAACTGGTTCATTCCGTCTCTATAGAAAAGAAGTTTTAGAAAAGCTCATTTCCGTTAACAAATCAAAAGGCTATGTATTCCAAATCGAAATGATGGTCAGAGCAAATCAATACAATTACACAATTGGTGAAGTACCAATCACATTTGTCGATAGAATTTTTGGTGTTAGTAATTTGGATTCTGGTGAAATTGTTGGTTATCTTAAAAGTGTATTAAATTTATTTTTAACCATTTAAAAAACAAAACAAATAAAAAATATAAATAAAAACTAAAAAACAAAATATATACACTCTTTTTTTTTTTTTATATTATATTATATTATATTATATTATTTTACTTTTATTTAGTGTCTTTATTATTTGGTTTTTGTTCGATAGGTTTCATAGTTGGGAAAAATAAAACATCTTTAATTGTGGTTGTATTAGAGAATAACATGCAAAGACGGTCGATACCTAAACCCCAACCGCCAGTTGGTGGTAAACCATACTCTAAAGCATTGCAAAAAGATTCGTCTAAAATTTGAGCTTCATCATCACCTGTAATACGATCTTGTGATTGTGCTAAAAATCTCTTTCTTTGTTCTTTTGGATCGTTTAATTCACTGTAAGCATTGACTAATTCTTTACCACCTACAAACAATTCGAATCTTTCGGTTCTTTGATTATTGGATCTATGAATTTTAGCTAATGGTGACATTGCAAGTGGATGGTCAATGACAAATGTTGGTTGAATACAGAGTGGTTCGATGAGGGTTGATGCCATTTCATCTAAAATTCTAGTTGGTGTGTATGGTTCTTTACAGTGAATATTGTTATCTCTGCAAATATCCAAGAGCTCTGGAATGCAGTCGTAGGATGTTAAATCTTTTGGTAATGTTCTACCAGTGAGCTCTTCAATTTTATCAATGAAATTAATTCTTTGGAATGGTGCTTTAAAGTTTAATTTGATTTCTGGATTGGCTGGGAATGGGATTTCATAGGTTCCAAAAATTGAATAGACCATACCTGATAACATTTCTTCAGTAAGTTTAACAATAGTTTCATAGTCTGCATAGGCTTGATAAAATTCGCATGTTGTAAATTCTGGGTTATGAGTTAAATCAATTCCTTCATTTCTAAATTGTTTACCTAATTCAAAAACTTTATCAAATCCTGCTACTACTAATTGCTATTTATAAATTAAATTAGTATTATTAATCTAAATAAAAATATTATTTAGGTAATTGGTTTTATACATACTTTTAAAAATAATTCTGGTGAAATTCTTAAAAATAAATCTAAATTTAAAGAGTTTGAACGTGTAATGAATGGCTTGGCATTGGCACCACCAACATTGGTTGAAAGAATGGGTGTATCAACCTCTAAGAAACCTCTTTCCACTAAGAAACTTCTGACATAATTAATTACTTTTGATCTAATAAAGAATGCTCTTTGATTCTCTGGATTAACCAAGAAATCTAATGGACGATTTCTATATCTAATTTCTTTATCGTTGATTTTTAATGGTATTGGACGGTTGCATGGAGTGAGAATATTAATATCTTTTGGAATTACTGATAGTTCACCTTTTTGTGACTTTGCTGGATAACCAATAATTTCGATAATATCACCCTTTCTTAAATTTTCCATTAAAATTGGGTAATGATTTTGATTTTCAAAGAATTTAAAATCAGCCATAACCTGAAGTGAAAATTGAGCACCTGTCATTTTTAATGTTTCGTTATTTTCTACTTTGATTACATCATCTACAATTGGTTGATTTGAATATGATGATACTAAATCTATGAATGTTAATTTATTACTTGAATTACGAATTGATTTAATACGTCCTACTAATACTACACTTTTATCTAACAATTTGTTGCCATTACCTAAACCTGAAAACTCGTTTCTATACTCTTTGATTGAATGTGTAAGTTTTCTTTCTTTAGCTTCATATATTTGTTTGCCTGTTCCCTTTCTAATGTTGTTAATCATCTCTTCTCTTGAACTACTGTAGATTTGTAAATATTTTTCGTCATTGATTTCATCAATTTCTTGATGCTCCCCGTCTACAGTTTCATTCTTAAAGATATTATTATTGTTTTTTTTGCTGGCATAATAACACTTATTTAAATTTATTAATGTTTTGCTTTTATTGATTTTATTTATATTTCTAATTAACATTTTAAATGCCTTTTGTAAAATGTAAAATAATCACTTTTTTTTTTAATTAAAAAAATCAAAAAAAAAAACGAAAAAAAAAACAATTTTTTTTTTTTTTTTTTTTTTTTTTTTTTTTTTTGGAATAACTATTAAATAAGGTTTTAAAATAATTTGTAAATAGATTTTTAATTAATATTATATTTTATTACATTTTATTTATTAAAGTTAAAATTAAATCTATTAAATAGGTTATAATGGCATGCACTATTTTTGGTAATTTTGCCGTTGAATTGATTGTCTGGAAGTGAGAATGATAATTCATCCAAGAAAAATAAACATAAATCTAAATGATCATTAATTAAGGCACCTAAAAATAATTCTCTAAGTTTTAGAGTGCTATAGTAGAATTTCTTTACTTTATCTTTTTTTGAGGCTTTATCTTTTTTAAATATAAATGAAAATCCATTATCAACAATTGATCTAAAGAATGGAAGGTTTCCTGATCTAGCTTGACATTTTAAAATTGTCATAAGGCCATGGTCTTCTACTTCTTCATATCTTCTAAAGCGTGGGGGTGTGGCTGATGGTGTTGGTGATTCTGCAGTTGGTTTTGGTGTGAAATGAACTTTCATAAAATTATTTATAAATTCCATATAACCTCCAGTGGGCGACGATGAGTTGTTATATAAACTGATATTTTTATGATCGAATGGATATTCCAATAAATTGTAACTATTTCCACTATCAGAACAGTAGTAAATAATATCTTCGTTTTCGTCATAATCAAAGTCCGAGCTCCCATTAGAATCAACTATTCTTATATCCATTCTTTTCTTGAGGTTAGGATCTTTTTTCTGGAGTATATATCTTGATATTAAACAATAGAAATAGGATACCTTATTTTTAGTTAGATTAAATGTAAAAGAAACATTTGGATAATGTTCTAACAAATCAATAATTTGGTTTAATGGAATATAATTGATATTGAAATAGGTAAATTTTTCTCGATCAATTGTAATATATCTTGATAAAATTGGATTTTCAATTACTCTTTTGAATACATTGAATAGTTCTTCTGGAAAACTTGGATTGGAAATATTATTAGTGTTGAAATCTAATTTTTTTACAGCGCTGGGAAGTAGTTCGATATATCTTTCTAATAAATCGAGTCTATCGTTCAATATAAAGCTATTTGCTTTAATTGGTTTGTGGATATCTTTAAAGAAATGTTGAAGTATATACTCTAGTATTTCTGGTGATTTAATAAAGTATAGTATATCTAATTTTTCATTTGGTGTTTTTTGTAGATCGATTATTGGTTTTTTTAATTGACTGTAACCATATTCTAATATTTCTAAATCATCATTTGCAACCAATATTTTAAAAAATAGTTCCATATTTATTGCACATTTGTTTTCTGATATAGATTCACCTAAAGAACGGAGGAATTGAATTTTTTTAACTTTTTCGACTTTAAATTGGAACAAGAATGATTGTGGGTTAAGGAAATCTGGAAATATATGATCACTAAATACTGTTTTGAAATAGGTTGGATCCTTGCATTGGGGATGTGCTAAAATGAGAGATAATTCACCAAGTCTAAATGCGTCTAAATACATGCATTCCAAATAGTAGCTCGATTTGCTTTGCATACATTTTTTAATTGATTCGATATTGGCTTTACCAGTGATCACCAAATACAATAAACTTGGTTTACTAAACATAGAATAGTGCATTGTTAAAAGTTTAATAATATTTCCATAGAGCTGAGTATTTTGGTTGGGGGTTTGATAGTTTTCTAAAAAGTACTCCATTACAGTTTGCTTAGATTGATCTTTGGTGAGAAGTGAGAATGCATCATTTAGTTCTTTTAGTTTTGAAAATGGTGTTGTTACAGTTGGTACAATTTTGGTAGTTTGAAAATCCAAGTTTAAAATTGAACGACACGAGTTTATAAGATCTTCCAATGTATAGTGGTCATAGAGAGGACATTGAAACAGTTTTTTTATTTTCTGCTTTGTGATTTTTGGTGCTGGCAATTCGATATCTTGAATTAAATAATTTATAAACTTTGAAATTTTTGAAATTTTTGTTTCTTTTTTCTTTTTTTCTTTGATTTTTTTGTGTCTAGGTTGAATTCTTCTCATTGGTCTTCGGTTTGCTGCAACAACTGGTTCTTTTTCTTTTTTGGAATCTTCAATATCATCCTTAGCGGCATCAACTGAAGAGAATACACACTTCCATATATCAGTATCGGTAAGAGGTAGTGGTAAGTTGTTTTTTTTGTAAAATCCTACTAAACATTGAAATGTTTTAAAACTTTGAATTTTAATTGACTTTTTGATATCTTCGATGGTTGGTTTGCAGTCGTATTCTTCAATAAGAACTTCGATGGCTGCTCTACAACATTTTGACACTGCTATATTGAATCTGCCTTGAGGAGAGAATACAATTTTAGAGTAGTTTTTGAATAGATTAGAATAAAACTCGGTATCATCTCTAATAAATTCAAATATGTCATTAATTTTGATATTGGTCAAGTAATCACTCCTCTTTACTTTGTATTTCAATAGTTCGGCTTCTCTTGAATGTACTAACAAACTTGCATCAAAAATTTGTTCATACTTTAATGTATAGCTACCACTATGTATGTGCCCAGTAATCTTTTTAAATAAGAAAGTGTTTCTAATTACTTTCCAAAATAACTTTTCACTTTCGCTGACTGGTATAGCCAAAAGTGATTTTCTCTTTGCTATTTTACCCATCATCTTGTCATGTTGAGTTTTTTTTGTTTTAATTGTATCTCTAATCTTTTTCAAAATTTCACTATTATCTTCATTGTGATTGCATTGCAAACCCATCGATTTTGCAACTTTAATAATTTCTTCAGTTGGTTTAAATTGTAATTCTTCCATTTTGATATCATCAAATTCGTTATGGTCATTGCCAAATTCTTCATCGGTGCTACTATCAAAGTTTTCATGGTCACGTTTAATGCTAATCTTTTTCTTTTGTTCGTTTAATTTCTGTCTTGTTGATAATTTACTTTTTAAACTAATAACTTCTTTTTCTAATCCTTGAATCTTTAATAATAATTCTTGAATTGTTTTATCTTTATCATTTCCATCCATTTTTATTATATTATTTTAAAATAATATAATAATTATTATTTTACTATTTTTTTTTTATTATTTATAATATAATATAATTTATGCCAAAAGTGCTGTTTCTTTGATTAATTTTTAATTATTTTATATGCATCACTTTTTTTTTTAAGCATAATTTTTTTTTGTCAAGAAACCCTTTTTTTAAAAAAACGGTTTTATTTAAAAAAAAAATTTTCCTCGAAAGTTAGGAAAAAAAAATTGTGTAATTAATATAAATAAAATTTACAAATAATTATTTTTATAAATAATAAATTACAAATAATTATTTTCATAATATAATAAATAAAAAATAAGAAAAAATTGATAATAGAAAAATCAAAAAAAAAAAAAAAAAAAAAAAAAAAAAAAAAAAAAAACCCCAAATTTTTTTTTTTTTATTTTCATTAAAATTAAAAAAAGATTCATTGCTTTTTTTAAAAAAATCAAAGTTGTTTATTTTTAAAATGGGTTTGAATATAAAATTTTTTTTAAAATTTATAATATTTTTATTTTTTTTATATTTTATATCAATAACAGAACAACAAGAGATAACAAATAATAGTAGTAATAGTAATAGTAATAATAGTAATAATATATATGTAAATAAAAATGGTAGTGATACTTTAAATAATGGAACTAAAGATTTTCCTTATTATAGTGTTTGTAAAGTTATAAAGGTTATAAACGAAAGCACGAGCAATGAACAAAATATAGAGATTAATGTATATATAGGTAGTGGTGATTATGACTGCAGTGGTTGTACAATGGAAGAATTCACTGGTTTTGGTTTTATAAGGTTTCAGCCTTTTATAGAGGATAGTAGCGATAGTGGTTCTAGTAGCGATTTAATAGAGTTTAAAGATTATTGTATACCGAGAGATAGTACAGATAAGGCATATGATTATGAAAGTGATAGTAGAAGCTACTCCAGCCAAAGTAGTAGTGACAGTAGTTATAGTGGTAGTGATAGCAGCCAAGATGGAAGCAGTGGTTCAAGTAGCAGTCAAAGCAGCGATAGTTATGATGATAATAATAATGGTATCAATATAATCAACTTTTATTTTAAATTAAATAACAAAACAAATTTTATTTTATTCGAAATAAATTTCATTTATAATAATAGCTCAAATAATAATAGTAGCAGTGGTATAATAGTGTATAATAGTTTCTTAACTTATATAAACTCTCAAATTATTAATTATGACAATAGGTTAATTAGTATAGTTAGGGATTTCTCAATAGTAGATTATTTTAATACCAATTTTAATTATACCCAAATAGAGATAATAAATTCAGCATTAATAATTAACAAATGTAAAAACATAACAGCATTAACAATTAACTCTACAAAAGGAATGGATTTTGAATTTATAGATTCCCAAATTAGTCAATTATATATAGTACCAAATAATAATCATAACAAAAACTTTAAAAATAGTGTAGATATTAACAATTGCCTAATATATTTCGATAATAATATCATATATAATAGTAATACAATCGATAGTTATATATTTACAATCAAATCAAACGATGGCTCCATTAGTATAAAGAATTCTAAATTGTTTGGTTCATATAGTTATTATTCAAATTCATTGATAGAGGCATATCAATCCAAAAATATTTCCATAGAAAACACAGTGATCGCAAAATGGAAATTTAAAGACCCGGTTATTAGTTTAAAGTATCAGAGTAGCATTCAAATTAACCAATTAAAATTCTGGGGCGAAGGTGTGGCTTTTATAGAAACTTTTAATAGCTTTACCCATATCTACCAAATGTTTTTTTTCTCTACCTCAATGGCTCAGATTTTGATGGCCCAGGGGAATTCTACAGTTTTTATTGGTCAATTATACCTTGAATATTATACTTATGGAGTTCCTTTCTTGGTTAATTCAGAACACAACTTTTTCAACCTCTCGCAATGTTCAATGAATAATGTAGACAGAATAGATTTCAAAACCAATACAAAAGTAGAAATCAATGTACTTATTATTGTTCCAGAGAATATCGTTGGTATAGGTTATCTTTTCAAATTAGACCATGGTTCAACTCTTTATTGTTATAGTTGTGTTTTTTATGAGAAAAGATATGAAAAAATTTTATTTCTTCAAAATAATTCAACGGTTACCCTTGATCAGACCGAAATCCAGATTGCCACCATCATCGTAAAAGCAACAGAAAACTCTTATTTTTTTTTCCTCGAATCGACCATTGGAAGAATCTATTCAATGGCCGCATCGTTTCAATTAGAAAACTCAACTCTGGAAATAAAATATTCAAATGGCTCTAATTTAGCCTGTCTTAATTCTGATATGATTACAGCCATCTCCTCAGTTGTGGAAATCAATTCTTTTTTTATAATATACAGTAATTTTGGTGTATCTCTCCTTTCTCTCTATAGAAGTATAGCAACAATAGAAAATTTAAATATAACATTAAGTCATTTTCAAAATCAAGCTCTGTCTGCTTATAACAACTCGTATGTATTAATAAACAATAGTGAATTTAGAGATAGCTATTTTCAAGGTGATGTTTTTGATGTCTCTGGTGAGAATTCAAAGGTAGATTTAATACAAAGCTTTATTATGTATTGCACATTCAATTATTTATTTAAAGCAAATCAATCATCCATTTCAATGCAAGCTACGGAATACATGAACAATAGAGGCTCCATTGTATTTTCATTAAATTCAACAGTGAATATTTCATCCATTCATTTTGATTATTATAACCCACCCGCAACTTTAGGTAATGGTTCTCCTTTAGCACTAATAGACTCATCAAGAGCACAGCTATCAGATTTTTCATTTGAAGGAATATCATTCATCTCTACATGTTTTATCATTAAAGGATCCAGTGTAAATTTCAAACAAATTAATATTCAAAACAGTTTTCATATTTCAACTATTATACAGTCAAGTAATTCAAATATTACGCTTAGTGAAAACACCAAATTCATTTCAAATTCAGATATAACAAATAGTCTCATTAGTCTTGATAGTAAAAGTCAAATGGTTTTATTGGAGGTAGAACTTAGTAATAATTCAATCTCATTAATAAATCTTATGGATTTTAATCTAATAAAAATCAACAATTCAAATTTCCTAATGAAATCATGCCAACTTGTTTATTCATCATCAAGACAAAGTCCAATTTTCTCTTTAGGTGCATCAATTATAGAATTTGAAGATTCAGTTTTTATAGGTAATTTTGCTTCTTTAAATGGTGGGGTTATGGGTTTGGACTCTCCAACTCGAGTTAAGAAAATTTCAAATAATACATTTTCACACAATTCTTGTTTAGGATCAGGTGGTGTTTTTTATACAAATGGTCCAATTATTGGTTTGGAAATTAAAGATATTAGTAACATAGCTCGTCATAATCTTCTCACTAATGACTCTGCACTTATTGGAGATTTTATATCATCAGGTAAATATTTTTATTATAATTACAACCACTTATTGATATATCATAATTAATATTAATATATTAATATATTTTTTATTTTAGAACCATACCAAATTATTGTATCAGGTCCAATGCCATTACTTAATTATATATATATATCATTGACTGATAGATATCTACAACCAATGTCAGCTCAGGTATTACAGGTAAATGTTATACTCCAAAAGCGATTATTGAATGATGGGTACAAAAAATTTAAACCAATTAAAACTACTCTATATTTAAAGGGTGGATATGTAGCATTTGATACCACTCCACTTTTTACAAAAAGTACAACAAATTTCACAAATATAATGTTTTCTTTAAATATAACAATTGTTGGGTTAAGCGTTAAATATTTTAACGCTAGCTATTCAACAGCTATTCCATGCAGTGTTTATGAAATCTATCAAAATGGAACTTGTTCGTACTGTAATTTTACAGAGATTTACAATTATAAGGAAGGTGAATGTGTCAATTGTCCTGATAATATGGAATGCTTAGGCTATCAAATTAACTCAAATAGTGGGTATTATACATTCAATACCTATTCTTCCAACTCATTTCTATTCACCAAAACTTGCCCGCTTGGCATGTGTTTAAAAGGTGTCGGCTATAATATCAATCGATGCCCATCTCCTCTATTCGACACATCAAGTCCATTCTGTTCTAAATGTATCAGCGACTCAACAGAAAACTCACCGTCATCAGTATCAAAAAATGGAACTCATTGCTGTCAATACTTTGAGCCATTGCTATTAATACCCTATGTTTTATTTATAATAGGGTTTTCATTACTATTTTCGTTATATAAAACCGATATAACCACCAGATTAGTTGGTCTTTTAATCTTAACGTTCCAATACAACTCAGTAGTACTCTATTACTATCCAGGTGTTTATATATTGCCGCTATTCAGATTCTCAATAGACTTCCTTTTCAATTTCTGCACATTTCGTTTAAATTTCGTTCACAAACTAATAATATCACTGTCTTCAATGATTTTTATATTGTTCATTGGTCTCAGTGATATTTCACAAGCAATTTTAGTAGCTCTCAGAAAGAATATCATTTTTGGTGATATCGTTAATAGATTGTTATCAAAAGAAACCAAAATCGCTTTAGAAAACCACGAGCTTCTCAAATTTATGGGTGCAGGTAACAGTAAAGCCGTTGTAGGAATAGCAACCAGTGGCCAAGGAAAATATGATACCAAATTCATTAGAGTTAAACAATATTACAACTTTTATTTAATAATTCATCAACCACTATTATTTGCACTTTTCTCTTTAATAATACCAAAAATAGTGCACGATGTTGATGGTATCGGAACCGTAAAAAGCCTATCGATGGACTTTTCATACCTGTACAACTCGACAATACTCCACACAGTTTCAATAGCCTTTTCAATTATTATTATAGTTTTAATTGGTTTGTTCATTCCTCTAAAGCTATTTTGTAATTGTTTCTTTTCGCATCTATTCGAAAAGAAAATTGAAAAGAAAAATAAGATTTCAAGAAACAAAAAGTATTAT